TGTTGTAGACCCTTACTGATGTGCTCTTGGTTCCTTATCATTACACATTATCTTTTTAGTACAACAATGGGCAGGATTACATATTTTTAGCTAGGTTGAATAATGGCTATGTTTTTTTTCTTTTTTCTCAACAATTCTGGATCAGGACCAGTTGCTCTTCTGTGATGATTGTGACCGTGGTTACCATATGTATTGCTTAAATCCACCAGTCTCTGAACCCCCAGAAGGTATGGCTGCTTCGAGTATCTATACCAATCATTTTAAGGATAAGCTTAAGCTAGCACATTAGAAACAATAGCAGAATCAATATCATTTAAATATTCATGTATGTGTTTTGGCAGCATTGTTCCTTTCACATAATGCTGAAGCAGGTTTTTGAAAGCCACAGGAAAGGCATAGGGAAATTGTCCTGTGTGGAATTTGTCTTCCTATATCATACTTCCTATATGAAATTATAGTCAAAGTAGCTGAAACAATGCAAATCATGGCAAAAAAGCTGTTTAAAGCAGTTCCTGTTTTTTTCCAATGATTCTGTTTTGTTCATTTCATAGCAACAAATCTAAGGATCTCCTTAGGTCACATTTAGCTATAGTTTCCATCCAGATATTGAAATGATCAATACTGAATGATCAATGTTAATACTGAAATACCAGCAGCGAACAAAACAATAATAAGCTAATGGAAATCCAGCGTCACTGTAGTGTTCAGAAGACACTTCTTTCTCTTCCTCATTATAATTATCATTGATTGGGAAGGTTACTTTGATTAGAGAAAACAAATCTAATAAGTTACTGGCCTCTTCAGTAGAAGTTAGGGCAATAATTCTCTGAAGCATGTGATGAGACAGATAAGCGGACTTTGGGGAAATCAGTTGATTAAATCATGAAATTCTCCTATGGGTCCAATGTCTCCACCCATCATGAGTGGAGGCTGCCTGCCAAATCTGTGAAAGATTTTCCTCCTTCTAACAGCCTTTACTGGTTTGAGTGGGTAATTCTAGTGGATCGTTTGCATGCAGTGAGGTGATTATTTATTGAGTCCTCAATATGCAGATTGCAGTGGTCTGTAGTGTTCCTTCAATTGTTGTTCTGCTCATGGACAGAATTGTGAATCTTTTTGCACAATCCAAATTGTGTAGTCATATACATTTTAAAAATAAACTTTTTCTGAGAACTTGGGAATGAGGTGACTATTTTTCCTTCTTGGAAGGAAAATGGAAGAATATCCTATTTATTATGTCTTTTTATTATGATAGACAATAACACATAAGCTTGGAAAGGCAAGTCCAGTTGTAAAAACCAAAGCAGCAATGAAACTTGGGAAAATTTCTTACAAGACAAGTGAGAAGAACTGAAGTCCTGGCCCTCCCTTAGCTTGTCCCTTCATTTCAGGAAGCCTCTTTCTCTAGGCATTTTTGTGTTCTTGGTTGGTTCCATTCTGCTTCCAGAGGAAAGGAGGAGGAGAATTCATATTTGATGAAGATTACTAGGAACCGAGTCTCTTTTAAAACTGAAATGGATATGAGTTTAACCCATCACGGGTACCTCTGTAATAAATAGATTGCTGTTAGTTTAAAGGCAGTGAAGGTATTCTAGCTCACAAGCTGTTAGACTGCAATGTAGTCCCTGCAGTTAATGAAAACAGAAGGACATACTATAAGGCAGGGTCTTCAAACCTAGCGCTTTTATGACTTGTGGACTTCAACTCCCAGAATTCCTCAGCCAGGCACGCTGGCATATAAAAAACACCTATAGGAACCTCCCTAAAAATACTTGTGCAGCTTCTGATGCTCTTCAAATAGCTTCTCTCTTGACAGGAGTTGCCTACAGCAGCGGGCAAGATGAACTAACCTTGGCTGATCCCTAAAAGCTAACAGAGCCAAGTCTGGCTAGTACTTGGTTGGAAAGTAAAATAATAAACAAAGCTACTCATATTGTTCAAACTGCACAAAAGCTGAATCAGGCATGTTTATCTGCAGACTTGGATATCATTTAGAATGTCTTTTCAACATCTAAACTTTTCCATATCTTTATTTATAGGAAGCTGGAGTTGTCACTTGTGCCAAGAACTACTCCAGGAGAGAGCATCAGCTTTCTGCTACCAGCCCTAGATGAGAATAAAGGATTGGGCTTATTCTTGAATCTGTAGCACCAGCACACCATGATCATCCATCACATAGGCTATGTGTAACCATAAACACACTCTTGCCCTCACGAAAGGGTGAACCCTCAAAGAAGCACCCATAGCATTTGCTTCTCCAGGGTTACATTTCACCAAGAATTGACCTCCTGGGTTCTACTAGAAGGAGTACACCTTTGAGGCAAGGGGGAGGATTCTGTGTTCCAAATGAATCATTTTCCCCTGCAGTGCATGATTGCAGGTCTGTTGTAATAGATTCATATGTGTTATGATTATAGCATAAAGGGGAGCTGTTGTAACTGTTGGTATTTAGACATTTAAATTGTGTGGATGGTGATTTTGTTTTGATTCAACTTCTCTTTCCTTCAGATAAATCAGTATTCGCCATCCCTCAAACCAGTCATGTCCCCAGCCTGGCATCTTGCAGATCGGTTAAAACTGCAGCTTTCAGAATTCATAGCTAACATGGGCAGAAGCTGAAAACAATGGGAGTTGGATTCCCAACATATCTGGAGAACTTTAGATTAGTATTAGAGTGCTTGGTGATTGTTTGTGATCTTGGGCTGTAGTGGAATATTAAACCTTACTTATCAGAAAAGGTTCTAATGGGATAAGTAGATATGTCAGATAATTGTATCTGGCTGTTTTACAGCTCCATAATAAAACCAAAATAACCATTCATAAGGAACCATATACACAATATCTGCCTTGAAACTTCTTCATTGCCCTAATAATATAGAGATAAAATGGTGATATGACTTCATTACTTTAATGCAAGGGTCTTCAAACTTGGCCCATTTATGACTTGTGGACTTCAACTCCCAGAATTCCTCAGCCAGGCATGCTGGCTGAGGAATTCTGGGAGTTGAAGTCCACAAGTCATAAAAGGACCAAGTTTGAAGATCCCTGCTTTACTGTACCCCACAACTAGTCTTGATTCCCTGACATAGCACATCCAGTCTGTTGCTCTGCCTAGGTAAGTGACACGCCAGTGAAGGAGTACCAGACTCTTAGCAAAAAGCAAAGCTATCCAAATTTGCTTGAGAACATTATATCTTTCTTTACAATGGCTGTCTTCTCTTTCTTTAAGGGTGAAAACTTTAAAGAAAAATTCCTGGTGTCATAACTGGGATTAGAGTAGCCGCAGATAAAAGATCATCTCCTCACCTTCTCCTTTCCTGCTCCACCCTCAGAGGTGCAATCAAGAAGCCTTCTTTTGCGCAGGGTCACTCAAGGCTCTTGACTCTGGCAACAGAAGATTGGCAGCTATGTCAGCCCTCATTTCCATATTTGGGTGACATAGCTGTCTTGGGGTCATTAGTTTAATCAAAAACAAATCCAGGTCTGACTTGGGTTTCAACTAATCCTCTCTAAATGCAGCAGTTACTGTTTTATTTTTAGTTTGCAGTGTATGCTGATCTTTTCTCCTTCCTTTCATTTTTTCCCAATAATCTTATTAAAGGCTTGAATAAAACAATAAAAGATTGTGGAGGCTAAGGGAAGGAAAGAAAAGAATTACAAGAAAAATAAATGTATAAAGAGAAAAAAAACCCACCCCCTTTGTGGCAAATGTAAACAATTCCCTAATCCCTTCACTCCTCTTAGTTAACAACTATAAAACTCTTCATCTCATAACCCCTTTCTCAACAACAGGCAAATCAAATAAGTGACATCTTCTTTGATCCAGTTAATAGCAAAAGATCCATACAGAGCTCTAAGATTTTAACATTAATTAACAGATATAAAACTGAACATTCCACACCTTATTTCTTAACTGGATGACTCCATTTAATTTAAGTCATGAAATGCTCTCAATATTCTATTGCAAACATTTTTAAAACACCAAATTTAAACATGACAAAAAGAAAATCCCCTTTAGAAAATAGAAGTCCCAATACAAAATATTCTAAATAACATTTTCCTTATCTCAATCCTGTAGGCGCATCCATATTTCACAAGATTATAATAATCCCAATATCCTAATAGAGACCCAAAAAATTAGATATAGCAAAAAGAAATAATTTCTCCTTTTTTAAAAAAAGAAATTCTCCAAATTTCCTTACTTTAACTAAAGAAAAACGAAGGTAAAACTAATTTAAATACTGTAAAATTATAATTACATAAAATAAGTCTTTGGGAAGAAGCTTTTACATAATATCCACTTTAGGCAAATCCAGTACAACTTCACTAATCCAGAAAGAATCACCCTGTATAACAATGTAACCTATTTATCTCTGATAGAATAAGCCAACTTTATAATTTTTTATTTTAATTTATATAAGACAGTGTTTCTCCGCAATCCATCCAGGTGGTTGTTGATCCTTACTCAAATTTCTTTAGTGCCTTAAATAGTCTCTCTTATAAATCCAACAAAGGAAAATTATTCCATTATTTCTTAGTATTCTCATTTTTATTTCTTTTTTGATTTTTAGTAGCTCATCCAGTATATTTGGTGATAGATTTTTCTTCAAAGTGTCCATATTCTCTTCAAGTAAAGTTCTGTGATATCTTTGATAACAGAATGTTCTCTAGAAGACACAGCATAGCTTTCATGTCTTGGTGCAGATCCCTACACAGTTCTTCAAATATATCTATAAATGCCATTATAAATTGATTGTCTTATACTTCCAAAACTCAAAAACATTCTTTCTTTTCCATTTATACATTTATTGTTTTCAAAAAATAGTTTCAAAGCCTTAATATTCAAAGCTCCAAACTTGGACTTTTTTGAACCCTTAGAATTTTTTGTAGGCAAACTTGATCTAATTTTACTTAATTTTAAATTCTTAAAAATTATAAAATTAAATCTTCATATTCTGATATAGGATTAAGAACATTCACTCACCTGGTGTTTTCAATCTTGTCATTCTGAAGGTGTCTAGCTTCCTTAAAACCATTAATAGACAATTTCCGAAGATCATTAGCAAGGGTGTAGTGTCCTCAAAAGGCTCCAATTTGCAGTTGGAGCAAAATGGTGACCTCACCCATCTCCTGGTCCTCTCCCCCCACAAGATTACTGTCTCTTCAGGAGGAAAAGGAATGACCATAAGGAAAAACAGCTTGGGCAATCTCATGTCATTCATTTTGATCCAGAGAAGATTGAGATTTGGCTACCTTGTACAAAGCTGCAATCATCACCTCTACTTGTCTGCAGCACTGTCCGCCATTTTCTCCTGGAAATCTTGACCTTCCCCTCTTTTCAGATGAGCATGCTATGCAACCAAGACCTGGTAATTTGAAGATGCCAAAATTATGACTGGATTCAAACATGCTAAACCATAGTTTGTTAAATCGTGCATTACTGAATGAATCATGATGGCTAGATTACCCAAACCAAAACCAGACCAATCAGATTATTGCTTAGCATACTGCATAAAGTCAATAATTCTTTCTAATTATAGATTCCTTGGAAGAGTTGCTCATAAACACTCAGTAAGTTTGGATTTCAGGTTCAAACTGATTGTGACAATGTTATTAAATGTAGGAATCATTTAGGAAAAAAAATCATTTAGGGAAAAAGTGTATAAATTGTTAACAAAAAAAGGAGCGTTGCAATAGTGAGTGTAAAATCTTGTTCTCCTTTGGTCCATCTCTTCAGACTTTTTATCTTCAGCTGACCTCTGATAGTAATGATGCCTCTTGGATGCTAGAAATGTATATAGGAAGATGCTTTGAAGAGCTGATTGGAAACAATGGACATTGTGGACATCACCCCATGCTTTACATGGAATCTAGACAAAGCACAGTATTTTGACCCAAAGTATATTATCTGCTTCAGGCCTGATGTTAATTCTTTAAAGGAGAACATGGGATGTGCTGAACACATGTATCCTGTGTAATACAATTATGTTACAGATTGAGTCATATTGAGTTAGATCATGTAATAGTCTTACCTGCCCTGACTGGCAATTTTTCAGGATTCAATACATTTCCCCCCCAGTTTTATATGGAATGCCAAAGATTGAATCTGAGACTGTTACACCAAGCAGCAGGCCTTCCAGTACAAAGGGCCAGTGATTTTATTGGGCAAATTAAGCCCACACTTCTTCTATAAACCAGGGATGAACAATGATTCATCTGCAGTGCTCTTCAGTTGTTGCAGAGGTTGTTCCCTCCACCCCCAGCTCTGTTGTTTAGGCTTAACATGAGATTTTAAGGTGCAGTCCAAAATGCTTGTAATTGGCATGCAGCATATTGGCTTCAATGAATGGGATTTTTGTACCTGCAGCCATATTTTGTGACTTGTTGTACTGCTACCGCATTTAAAGGAGTCTCCATTGTAAAATACAAGGATAACTAACATCCTTTTGGTAAAGCTAGTACCTATAGAAATCACACCCACTCTGATTCACACAGAATACCATAAAGTGGTTGGTTTGATTTTGGCTTGATATAATGCGATATACAAAACTATTATAGTTTAATGTTAGTTGGGAATATGCCATGTCATAATGGTTTGTTTAACAAATTGTAGTAAGTTTGGAACTAAATTAAGTCTCTCTCTCTCTCTCTCTCTCTCTCTCTCTCTCTCTCTCTCTCTCTCACACACACACACACACACACACACACACACACACTGCTGCATAAACTATTTACTTGAGGTTGAACTGTCCCTTGTGATGTACATGATTGAGGAAGGATCTTAGAGAGGCCCCCTATGACCATTTTGATTTTCATTTTCTGTGCTTGCATAGTGGATAAAAAAGGGGTACAGACACCTGACCCCATCGATAATGGTTCCAACTCCAAAAAAGATTGCTAGATGATTGAGGAAATCATTCAACATTATATGATACACAAATGTAGGTTAACCGCATGTTGAGTCAGGCTGAAACTGAAATCATAAAAAAGAATGGCTAGTTATAGCAGAAAGTATCGATAGTAATTCCAGCCTATAAAATACATTTTGAATGTGCAATAATTCCCCCACTTCAGAAATGAGGATACATTCCATCAAAGGTTAAACACCTTTATATTATGTTGATTTCAGTTGTAAATTTTCCCTGGGAAACTGTAAATTTTGCAGTTTCACTCTGAATATGTTTATAAAATGACAAGATTGTTTCAAAATTATGACTTGTGTTGGATGATAAGATCTCGTGTTGTTATACATACTCTGTCTCTGAAAGCTGCTTGGGTCTTTAGTAGAAGCACAGCAAGCAGAACACATAAATTATTCTTATCTATTAAAAGCCCAAGCACAGTTAGCGTGCCAAAATTAGGGCTGTGATACTCCATATACACTCATGTGTGAGCTCCATTGATTTTAATAGGACTGCAGTCAATTCAAGCCAGAATATGAAGTGCTTAGACTATGAACAGTG